TACTTGACCATTCATCCAGTGTCTGTGATATCATTGTAGACTCCAGCAAGCTTGCTGAGTCACTCCAGCTTGTCAAAGTACTTAGTGGCTAGTTTGTTGCCCATCTTGTACTCCTTCATCTTTTGTTTGTGTATCTTCTGGATGGTAGAGTCGGTGAATTTGTCAATCACTATCTGTTTAAACACCAGCCATGAGAGATACCAGTGATGCTGCTGCATAGTTGACCAGAATGTGGAGGCAAAAAGTACCCACCATGTTTTAGCCTTGTCCTTAAGGTACATAATAGTGAACCTGACTTTATACATATCAAGCATGAAGAAGGGTGTGTACACTTGAAAGTATTGATCACAGTCAATGAGAAAGTGATTAATGTCACTGGAGACCCCTTTGAATAAGCAGGATTTCCATAGAAGATCAGGTCTACAATTGATGACTGCTGCATCAGCTGCCAGCATGGTCATCAGGTTCAGGATTCTGCCAAAAGGCAGAACATTCCAGATTATCAGGGGATCTGAGAATGAATGGAGAGAGCCATTATTGGCAATAGGACTTCCTGATAGCTGTGCCTTCTTATATACAATGCACCTGTTCTTGATAGTGAACTCCAATTCTACTGCTTCTGGATCACTCTCTGTGTCTTCAGAGACCTTTCTGCTTCCTTTGGCTTCATCAGACAAAGGTTGTCTAGCAAAGGGTCAGCACATCAGCTGTGCCCATAGGTTCTGGTGGAAGTCTCTTAGCCTGAGTCAGCTTTAGGTGAGCCAAGATGCCATACTGCAGATGGCAGAAGTGATGAATGTATACCAAGAGGAGGTCATTCAGATTGAGGGTGCCATATAAACAGCTCAACTGGATGCAATGCTTAGCATCTACAGCATTGATCTAATATCAAACTTGGACTTATATGCTAATAATGATGCTAGTTGAAATCTTAAATATTTTCTGTTATAAATAAAAATAGTCTGCTTGGTGGCCACATATTAGAGAATATCCACATGCTTGATTCTATCAGTGGTGGTGTACCTTTGTCCCATGGGCAACACCAACCAGGTGTCATCCATTCATAAAGTGGCCATATCTTCCTGGTACAGCTATAAAAACTTCTTCTGGTGTGCCTTCTGCACTCTTCTGCTCAGCAGGGTCAAAGAAAGAGCATTGTGATACACTCATCCAGGATCTGCTTGAGATCTCTGGTGAAGTCAATATGCTTATCATCACTCCTGAGATCTCCTCTCATGCTTCATAGATCTCTCTTAGCTTAGTATATCATCAGTGTCAGTAATTGAATCTGTCCTATAGGATAGCAGGCAGTTGTCATCAAGGTCAAGTGATGCTCACCAGTGGACATCATCTATATGGACAACACCCTTAGGAGGTATCACTCATAGGTTGAGCTCAGAGGGAGCAGAGATGCTGGGCTCCCAGAATAGAGAGTCAGAAGCACTATATTTGTATTCAATCTTAGAGATGCTAGTATAGAGACTCTCAGAGCCCATTCTCCACTTTGCAGCTTCTCTGTTTCAGAGATAGCATCTGAAGAGGGTGCTTTCTCTAGCTTCTTCATACTTGATGTGTGTCTGCTCTGTGAGGTACTCAGTAAGGGACTTAGTGCATTGTACTTCATTCTCATGGGAGAGGACCAGGTCAATGGGGTCAGCTGGTTATGGTGGCATTCATATGTGGCCAGCTCTGTGAGCTGCACAGCATTCCATCCAATCAAATACTCTGGCAGCCTCTCACTAGTATCACCCCTCATCACTGTCATCTGCAAAGAATACATTATCAATCCTGACAATGCCTGTTCTTCCTCCCTTGTTATCAGTGCTCTGGTTTCTGACATATAACTCTGCAGAGAAGCTTTCTCTGCTTCCTGCCAGAGTGGCATATAAGGACTCATGTCTATTATTGGAGAAGGTACTTCCACTCCTTGGAGTCACCTGAATGACATCAAAGGAGTCTCTGGCATGGCATCCAATGCTGGACTCAGAGAGTACAGTTGAGAGAGTGGCCTTTGTCATATGGACATTGCTAGAAATGTCCACTCACTTGACATGTGGAATAAGCATATCAGACCTTGGTCTTCAAAATCCTGTAGCCCAAGGGTTGCTATCATTTTGAATGATTGCCATCAGAGATCTGAGCAGGTATTAGTGTTTCTTTCTCAGGATGCTGCATAGGCACATCTTCAGGGTTGGTTTCAAATACAGTTCCTTCTGTGGGCTGGAAGGACTGTTGGACAGAGAGAGGGATGTTGTGGAGGAGGAGGTCAGAGATGATATTTTATAGAATATGTCAAATATGCTGAAATTCTTGATAATGACAGATAGCCCAGGCAGTGATTGATTGGCATTCATGGCATAGCTGTATGATTACCAATAATTCTAACAAAGTTCCAATGATAGAAGTGAGGAGTTTGAAGAACTTGTGAGTGAAGTTTAAATCAGCAGAGTTGATAGCAGGAGGCATTCAGTTTCTCAGCATGATTGGGCTTGAGAAAGGAAAGCTAGAAGCTTCAAGCTAATTGTTAAGCTCAAATGACATGTGACCTAAACACATGATAAACTGACACTGCCTCACACTTCAGGCAATGATGTCAGAGTCCACTTGATGTATTATATGGTTCTGTATTGCAAGGCCTTTAGATTGGCTTGAGATAAGATGGTAAAGAAATAAACTTTAGCTTGAAGCTGAGAATACTACAGTGAGAGCTATACTACTTATATACTAGTCATCATCCATTTAAAAATATAACTATCTAATTATATGTCCTAGCATTATAAAGCATTTTGTCTAGTGTCATTAAGCTACCTACAAAAAGGTATTGTCTGTTGTCAAGCAGTAACTGTCATGTCAAAGGACAATGACTGACTAGATGTTGTTATAATGACTAAGCCTGGTCTCACAATCCTAAGCACTGGCCAAGCACTCTGACTAAGCAAAGATAGAGGTCAGTCCCTTAAATAAAAGATAAAAATGTGGAAAAATCATAACAGATTGCCTACAGCATATATTCAGTCTCTACAATACAATCAGCTACAGGAAAGGAGACAATACTTATGTGAGATACAGAGATATTCTGCTTGCTGAACTCTTTTGTCAGACTCTGCAATAATGCTCTCAAAGTATATCTCCCAGTGGAGAATATACTGATGATGATGTTCTCTCTAATACTTGCTGTGGCTTCTGTGAAGATCAAAGACCCTCTCTTGCTCTTCTCATCAAGTCTATTCATCTGGAACATCTGAATGACATTCTTTGAGAATGCAAAAGCATCTTTGATATTTATTTGTGTAATAGCTTAGACATTGTCTGGCATAATGTCAAGGAGTGGTTTCCAGATGCTATGTCTGGCATTGTAGAGTGTGATGTGGATGGGCTGGTCTCAGTAGTGGGCTCATATTTGAGTGAAGGCAGTTTGATGTCTACAGTGCTGCTAAGAGCCTGAAACATATAACTGATGATCCCTTTGCTGCTGAGACTTAGCATGGACCTCTGGTCTCACAAAAGCAATTTGATATCCATCCTCAATCCTGTATTTTGTTGTGTGCAGAAAAAAACAAAAAACTCATAGTGCAGTATATCATGAGCTGTATTTGCTCAGAGAGATCAGAGAACTCAGGCTCTAGAGGTTGATAGTGTTTTTGTTAACTTTTTTTCACAGACTAAAGTCTAGTCTGCTGATTAGAGGCTACAAGCAGTCTGGTATTGGAAGAGAGATATGAGAATGATAGTGAGAATAATGGTATGGGAGGGTGGTATTGTAGTTAGAGTGGTAGATTGAGTTGAAATCTCACTGTGTATTCTTCTTGATTGAGTTTTAGGAAGTGGAGCCCATAATCTATTGGCAGAAGAATATAAGTAATAGTCTCAGTCAGACACAGCATAGGCAAAATGACTGAGGTATATGAGTATCTATGGCCAGGCTATATAAGTGATCAAGTAACAGCAGAAGGCATGTACATATATGATAAGTAGAAACAAGTGACAATCAAAAAGAGAAGCTAAAAGTATACAAATGGATATTCTTAAACAACATACTTCACCTGAAGATATGCCTATGGAATTCAAGACTGGTATGCTCCAGTTATACACCTGTTACATCAATACCCAGTATTTCCATATATTTGTTCTCACTATATAAGATACTATGATCTCAGAGACAATGTCTGCAATAGATAAGGCAAATTCAATTTTTATTATTGCTATTTTACAAAACAAGTGACTTTTATTTTATATTTAAAAATCAGAAATTAACTATCTTGATTGAAATTATCAAAAGTGTGCTCTATCTTAGGCAATTACATCACTCTGGAACAGCTTCACAATTTGGAAGATAACTTGAGTGAAATAGTTGGTCACTCTGATGATGGCCTACCAAAGGCCTGTCCAATCATCCTTTCTCACCAGGCCTGCCAACTTTGCAAGCCTATAAAAGATGATACCAAGCCATGTAGACATTTTGCAATTCAGGAGAAGTAGCAATGTTGGTAGGTATAAAAATAAGCTTAAAGAAGTAACTGTATGAGCTGCAAATGACAGGAAAGGATGCACCTCATACCTTCTATCACTGATAACATAGTCTGCAACTTCCATACCACACTAAAAATAATGTCCAAACTTTTGGTAGCCCACAATGATTGGTACAGTTGGCATTTAAGTGAATATATGTGGCATATGAAGAGTTAGTGACCTAAAAGACCAATCAGTCGATAGGCTATTATTACTAGAAGAAGCCTGCTAAAGGTCCAATACAAAGAGATATCTTGGTTGACTCTGCGTTGCGACCATTTCAGATTACCACCATTAGCTAACTCGGTAAAATTCACATAGGTGTGGGTCAATGATTTGTGGACCCATACTGACGATATAGCTAAGAAAAACATATCCTTGTAACAGCATACCTTGCCAAAACAAACAATCAGTTGGCAAGCTATGTTGATCTCTTTCCCGCTGCTTTAATGAATCTTCTGGAATCAGTTTCAGACAAGAATACTTCTATACTCGTTTCTTGCAGATCAGGGTTCACGGACAACGCCGACAAGATCGCTACACCGAGACCGCCCGTTGTTACCAATGATGAGCTAACCCGTTCGGGCATAGCGGCCAGTCAAGCCGTGGGCACCAGTGTCATTAGCTGAAAGTAATGTAATGTAAAGTACAAGAACCGTATCTTGTCATATCCTACACGTTATCTTCCGCCGAACTGTTGATACTCTTGGTATTGTTCCCCGCATTCGGGCTCGCGTCATCTTCACCTGCGGGATATGCAACAGGGATATCTGTCGTGCCAAACTCGAGATGCGGCAGCCCCTCCTGGTGATGCTGCGATGGCATCGCGACAAGGACGGACAGCCGCAATGGTCCGCCCGAAGGATCAGGGAGTAGAGGTGCGTCCAGCGCTGGGGATGCAAGGGGTGGTGGGAGCGGAGAGGCGTCAACGTGCGACCATATCCGGTGAAAGCGAGCCCGAGCAGAGTTGTCCTGCTGTAGGGGAGGAGGCACCAGAGGCGGTGTACGTTTCGAGGCAGCGACCGTGTATGATACAGAAAAAGGCTGTGTTTCGCCCTCGATATTAGAAAAAGGGTATAATTAACACAGGGGTCGTACCTTGCATGCTTCCCAATCATGATGGTTCTTTTCGATGTTCATGGCTGCTTCATACATGATAGGTTTTTGAGAAGGGTCAAAGCGCATGCCCCGCCTGCTGGCAGGTGGGATCCAAGTGCCATTTAGAATGGCTTCATTGACCATGCGTCTGTGGCGCCTTCGAAGAATCAGAGACCGAAACACGATCGCTGCTGAAACGCCGAGCAGCAATATGAGTGTTGCTGAAGAGGGAATTAAGTATGGTATTCGACAGGTGCAGGGAAGAAAAGGCAACGAACCTAGGAAAGTGTATACTATATGAATCTGATCAGTAACATGACAACAGCCATCGTGTGAGCACACGTACGATACAACGACGCAGATGAATTCAGGCTGCCACCATCGTTCCCCGACCCAGCCCCAAGACTATCACTGCTGCTGCTAGTGGTGCTAGTCCCTTGGTCGCTGGACGTTGAGCTGAATGGGTCTGTCCATGTTGACGAAGCTGTGAAAGGTGGTACCGATGTAGACGTAGACGGCGATGCCAAAACTGGACCCCCAGTACCACCTGGAGAAGAAGACATGGTAGGCCAAAAACAAGAAGTTTAGTGCAGTAAAGCTGTGAAGTTGTCAATTGTGAGGTCTTTCAGGAAGACATCGGGATCCTGCTTACCAAGTGAAAGTACCGCACGAAAGAACAAGGGATCACCAACCAGGTGAACAAGGGAAATGGGCCCGGTAGCCACCCTGGGACGGGTCCAAATGGTGGTGAAGAACAAAGAAGAGGTGTCGTGGGACGTCAATAATAAGCCGCCGGTGGGCCACCCCACTGACATCACAAGGCCTCGGATCACATATATAATCTTATCTGGTAATTTTTTCCCTTATTTGACTCTTTTGATTTGCATCTGTGACACATAAAGGCCTCATCATCATCATTCCAACTGTCCTTCAAATCATACACGGCATTTGTGAGAAATACAGTCACCTTGGCGAACCTGGGAAAGGATAGTACTGGATAGTAGGGCCCGGGCGACTCCGAGTTGATGAAATGCTCCGACGGCGACCTCGATCGTGTTTACGTGAGAAAAATACATCCGCTATTGGGCTATTTGGCCGGAAGTTACGGAAGAAGTTGAAACCTACGCTCGTGACATCGTTTGTAGTCGAGAAGAAAGGCCGGTACTTGTCTGGGGCTACTAAAAATGGAGGAACTTCCGTTCTGATTGTCATGGGAGATAGGAAACAGCGCTTGAAAGAGGGCCTGGACATCGAAAATTTTGAATGAGAAGAGTAAAGCATTGATGAAACATACAGCAAGCCTAGATGTAGATCCTGTTCCTATATGTTCCCCCAATACCGGAAGGAAACAATACAAATATGATCAAATATGATCAACTGGCTCATCTGATCTGCGTCCGATGCTATTTCTGGCGTTGGAATGGAAGATAACGGCTGGAGCATTTTTGTTATCACGAAGCGCATATCTAACTTTTAGAGCATCCCAGGGGTTCCGAGATCCCCGAAAAACTCGTCTCCAAGTACCCCCCCACAAAGTTGTGTTCACTCACCGTTACCGTGTATAAAATAAAACACCGGGTACCATAGGGATCGAGGCCAAATCAAGGCAAGCGCGTTGGTGGCGCTATGTCATGTCGGAGTTTGAATGTTCCTTCATCGTGTTACCATCTATGCTTTCCTTCATTTGACGGATATTTTATATTCGTAACAGCATCTCTGGCTCGAGCATTCTCACTTGTTCAATAGTCGGCGCATACTACTACTACAGCAGAGACCCTGACAACTGGAATAGACATTCTTATTGTCATGGAGTGCGGCAAGTTTTTCTGCATCCATCTAAGGTGCGCAGAAGGCGGCATATCACTCTTTACAATCATTAACATGTTCTCGCAGATTGTCATGGCCAACTTCTCTCCCTTTCTTTAGCGATGAAAAACCATCCAGTAGCAGCTTTCTGAAGATTCTGATTGTGGTAGACACCAACTAAAATTTGGCATTCGGGGACCCTGAAACCCGTTCAACCCACAAAAAGGCCTTGGCAGGGACAATTACGTGCTCATGGGATTAGGTGCAGATCGCGGTATAGGACACCCGTTACAACGTTATCGTATTCGATGAAAATGTAAGACAGCCGTACATTCTACGACTGTGCTAAAATGAACGATATAATAGGTCCCTTGACTTTGGCTCAATCAATAACCAACGTTTCTGACGGAAAACAATCCAGCAGCAGCTCCTTTACTACCGCATTCAAATCATAATGGAAGCAACGGAAATTGGGCGTCGGCCCATGGACTCTGAAGGATAGCTATCCAGTGTTTTCCAAATTCGATGGGAGCGATAGCGCCGATGTCACAGTACCGTGAATCGATCATGAGCGAAATGGTAATCATCTCTCGATGGGAGACGGAGGTGAAAGCTGCTTGACCATTCAAGTACAGAGACCGGCCGGGAGGCGGAGGCCGCTGTAGTCTTGGAGCATTTCCGACCTGAGGAATAGGAATGAATTTTGGGGGATTAAGCCCCGGTTTCTGTCCTGTCTAGGCTGTAAGGTCAGCAGAGCTCGTCCAGCCGTGGGACATAGCACTAACCGACGACTCCGTAGGCGCAACTCATATCCAATCTCACGAGAGATTCGACTGCCGCGCCAACTATCTCTTCCGTGCCGTATAGTCAGTCATACATGTTGTAGACGACTGCGACGCGAGCCTTGTAGGAGTGTTTGGTCCGGACATAACATCAGCTCGCTTAGGTGGATACAACCCACGTCGTCCCAGACACGGGTCGTGGTGCCTCGAATCACGGAAAAACTGCCTTTTAAGGCAGCATTATGCCATCGAGAACGAGCCATTCGAGCCTGGGAATGCTCTTGGAAAAGCTCAGATGCCTGTGCTACGCGGGGGAACATGCCATCGATCAACAGGTGGTCGAATGATACCAGAACTACTTTCTTCGAGCCTGAGGGAAGAGACGCTGGGCAAGGTTCCAGAGAATGGCTTTTGAGCGTGGATTTCCATTGTACAGGTGATCGTCTACTTTCCATTTTCAGTTTCTTCTATGCTCACTCTATCGTAGCGCTTGGTTAAGATTCAACACCACATCAAGTGTACTACGGCAGTTAGCGGTCCAATGCAGAGGGAGTCAGGCAACGGCAAGAAAAGCGTAAATCCCATATCGCACTACCATCTACGATGAGACCCAGAATCATCATCGTCAGAGATTCTCGGACAATGCCGAATCCTGTACCTTAGCGTCAAAGGCCGTACTTATCGTTTCGCGTTTGCTGCCCTCCAAAATCACCTGCTTGGATGTAAGCGACATGATGAAACAGTACCCTGCTCTCCTAGCCGCCATATTTGGACGTTTGGTCAGTGATTTGCCTCCGTTTGTCAGATCCTGGTAATTGAACTTGAAGGCACACAGCGTCGTAGTGCTGAAGGGCTATATTCCCCCCCTGCGCTTTGTGGCTATTTTACGTCTCAGCCATGATGAGGTCCTACGTATTTGGTTTGAATACTTCGCCCTTAGCCACCTCCTGCAAGGTAGCCCTTGTGACGAACATTTCGAAGCCGCATGATGTGAAAACTGTCAAAGACACGCCTTTTCAGGTTGCTACCGGTTACGCTCAAGACTGCATGGGCTAGGCCATTAATAGTTCTTTGTGAAGACTTATAGTATGTAGTTTTGCTTTCGTTTGGATTCTTGTGATAATATTCCACGCTAGGTGCTGCTGCGCAAGACATAGCTCCCGTCCGAATCTCGTTCAATATCAATTGTTTAGTACGAGGTTTAAATAGTGTGGCGTCTTATTACGGAACATTGCATCAATGTTGATGCAATTCGTTTCCGCTTTCTCTTTTGCGACTTGGCGACTTTTGAAATAAACACGAAAACCGTGAACTTCGAGAGACAATCGTCAAGACTTCCACGACACGGACCTTTGACTCGATATCCATCTTTCTCAAGTCCGTGTTTCGGGTCCATCAATCATGCTGCGTCTCAGTGAGTTGCTAAGTACTGCCAAATAGTAAGCCCACATTATCTCCATCGATGAATCCCCATCTCATGAAACGATATATCTCGTATGTGGGTCAACAGGCACTGAACATCCTGGCTTCGCACTACCATGTCCTCTGTTACGACGAGCACTATCGAGCTCTTCACCCCGCCCTTCTCACCTTCATCAACATTCTCGGATTTCGGCCCGAGACCCACTAGAAGACAGGGTCCCAATGGCGGCGGTCTGGATGGGAATAACGACGGCCTTGGTGGAAATGGAAATCGGGGCGGGGGAACATCTGCGACCGTGTACTGTAAGTCCTCCTTAAGATGATTGGAAACCTAAATGATGATCAGACTAGTGTATACGTTCTTAGGTGCGTTATATTGCTATAATCAATCACCAACCCAGCAATTCAACATCAACAGGAGTGCTCTTACTGTTGCTCGCCATCTCAGCAACCATCGTGGCTCGCACCATCATGCGTCGTCGACGCCAACGACGCATGATGGAGGAAGCCATCCGGAACGGCACTTGGATACCGCCTAATGGGAAGCCCCCAAAGCCCGTCATGTACGAAGCAACGTTGAATGCCGGCAACGAACACCACGACTGGGAAACATGCAAAGTGCGAGCCCCCCCCCTCCCCCCCTCCCCATCTTATATAATTTGCCGGGTTCTATTATTGGCTCACACGTATCTTTTCATAGCCTTTTGCCGTCTCATACACCCAAGACCTCCCCCTTCCAACTCCCCCGCCTGCCCGTATCTGGGCACTCATCAAGTCGTCGTCGTCGTCCCCTCCCCATGGTCCCGTCGCGCAGACCATTCCTCCCGGACCGCTACGCATATCTATGTTTATCGCCATGCCGTCACCGAAAGATGAGCAGAAGGCGGGGCAGATACCACAGATTGAACTGGGCACCGCCGAAGTTCCTGTCCTGCATCCGCCCGCCGCCGCCGACCCACCCTCGACCGCTAAGAGGAGGGCCGTGGAAGAGGTGTGATGCTCCCGCTCCTGGGCCGTGCGTGGGCATGTGTATACGACTCGTTAAATGAACTTTTTATGGCTTTCACGATAACTGTTAACTGTGTGTAGTACGATAATCGGGCCCCTCGTGGGATACGAGACGAGACCGCGTATCGGGTGATAGCCTTTTGAATGCGCGGACGTTGATCGCCAAGGAATGAATTATGAATCCCGTAATTGCAGCCCCACAGATTGACCGACTCAATGGATCTTGCTCGGCGCAGCAGAGATCTGCTGTCACCAGTTGTGCTTCGCTTCCGATTCCCCCCTTTCTCTTCTATTCTTGGAGCAACAGGGGCGGCCTAGAGAGCGCAAAACCGAACAAGCTACTTCAGCAGGGCGGGACTTTGGGGAGGGGGGGTGATCCAATAACATCGATAATCTTTGAATGACGAAATTGTCAGATATGCCAGCGGGATTCCCTTTTTCACCAGCTTGGCAAGTTGTCACGCGCTCATCCGGCTCTTACAGTCTTTCTTTCTCGTGTGGTACTTGCCAGATTATTCGTGAAGTCGATGTGTGAAGTGCGGGACGTCCTTTCGGAGCCCATACTAAGCGCATTGAGGTGTAGTTGACCGAGGGTTGCCATGGCGAATAGGGCTGACGTATTTCTTCTAATCAGGCGGTGGTACTGGGCTGGGATAAGGCCCTTCGTGCGTGAGGGGGGCGAAAAATACAAAAAAAAAGTCATCAAGCAGATCAACTCAATGTCATAATTTATATCGCTGCTGGCCGCAAGGAGAATGCTCTCAGGAAATGCAGAAAGTATGTTACGAGGAGTCTTGTCGTAAGGAATTATAATGTGGGGTAAGTCGAAGACTCAACAGCTTTGATCCAGACTGCCAGTGTAAAACATGAGTTTTCGACAAATATACGTCGTGGTCATCTAGCTCTTCCGGTCATGCTAAAGTCTATCCTTCCTCATAACGGGACCAACACACGAGCGACTCGGATATTCTGGAATCCCTGGTAGAACAGCGATCAACGAGGTACACGAAGACAAAGAGAGTCGAAAAAATCCGCCACTACCACGCGTCAGTCATGTTATTTGGCACGTGGTAAGGTAAGTAACAGTCACCCCCCCTCCCCTCGGAATAAAACGGTGACTGAACCCCACTGGAGGTTTACGGTCAACCCTACTGCTAAGGGAACGCGGAAACAAAAGAAGAATGTAAACGAGCAATGACCGAGACAGGGGTCGAACCTGCAATCTCCTGATTCGTAGTCAGACGCGTTGCCATTACGCCACACGGCCATACATCTTGAGTCCAGTCTGGCGTCTAGGTTTAAAGACGCCAATGAAGATAGAATAGTGTCTTCGTTCCGCATACAGTAGAACCTGAGAACGGGCAATGTGGCCTCGAGCAGACATCCGTGGAAGAATGGCCGTCTTCCGAGATGTGCTTGATTTGACAATCGAAGGTGGAAAAGGAAGGGGCGGCTATTCAGACGGTGAGCATTTGGACCACAAGTCTATGCTCTCTCCTGACCTTCCAAGACGTATTCCTTCCCAATTGAGAGAGCCCTTCCTTCCGTCCAACGTCAAGATAAAGATCGGCCGCTCTATGGATCACACATCGAACAACAGTAGTACGTCAAGGTATCTGTTCGACGAGAGACTTTGGACTGAGGGAAAGAAAAAACGAAACATGATCTGGCCATGGAATGCCATCTTGAGTCTGTCGTATGAGTCTGGGACAGGGCACCAGAATTGAACTAGGGAGACCAGTGGATTTGCAGCCTAGGCGAAATGACCGCGACGTGATCCACAGCTGTGCCGGAGGGACGATGGTAGTGTAGCCTTCAGGTTCGAGCCTGTGACGACGTCTAATGTCAAATGGGAACCGCCAGAAATGTATACACACGCTTTCGAATGCGCGAGCAAGGGCGGAAGACGAAGATGCGGGCACGGATATGCCGAGCGACCTGTGGTATTGTCAGCTTGGTGAAGAATATCTTCAATACTCCTTCCTAAGCCTGGCACATCATTGAAAGGTAGTTCCTAGAGCAATTGATGGCCTCCTCGCCGTTGCTGGGGAGACAAAGCTGCATCTTCGGCTTTAGTGAGTGGTATTGTCGAGGGGGACATGTCGTAGAGCTCACCTAGTACAATGCGGGAGATCCTTTTCGTTCATTTGGTGGAACGCTTGGCTTGGGGGCTTGATATCGTTTTTTGGTCTGCTTTAGCCATCCCGGCGGATGCTCTGACCTAAATTGCTCTCTACAACGTCAACTTCGCGCTCCAACACATAAGCCAAGGACCGCAGCTACCTCAGATCTCGCTGAGCCTCTGGGTTCGACGTCAACATCCAAATACGGCTGTTCCGATGGCCACCAAGATGACATCATGCGCATCGACGTCATTTCGCCACTAAAGTTGCGCCGGGAGGAGGTCCTATAAAACTGGAAGGGCTGGGACATCACCACCACCATCATACATGAATAATACCGCCACACAAATCCCACTCATTGTCAGTACCCAAACGCCGTCACATGAATGGGCCGACGAGACGATGTCAGAATTGACATCGCCGAAGTCCCTGACTCCAACACTGTTGTCTGCAGTGTCGACATCAAGCCATGATTTTCCGGGAGCGTATCCTGGAGGATCGGAAGAGCAAGTTGCTGAAGGAGCTGGGGGAGAAGGAATCCTAGAGACAGCGAAGCAGTATATGCTGGGCCAAGAAGATGTTGGGAAAGTGCTGTGTAATGCCACAGGAACGGAAAAGCAGTATTTACCCCAGGCGGTGGTCTCGTATTTCCGTGAGTATCGTATTTCATCCGGGCAGGTGCGATATTTGACAGCTTTTTCAACTGAATCAAATTCAGCAGGTAGTGCTTCAGAAGATTCTGGTAAGGAGGCCCCTGCAGCCCCTGATAGCGATGAGCGTATCAAGAAAACGAAGGATGGCGGCGCCGGGCCAACTATCGACACGTCCATACTAACTCCTTCTACGAATCCTACATCGGATTTGTCAACGTGGAGGGACCTATCTATCTCCGAGTTAAGTACGGTGACACAACCAGGAAACGGCAGCCAGACAGCTATACCGCCCACCACTACACCAACCGCGATGGAAGCAGGAGGCATGGGTGACCTTCCTGGACCTCCTTCAGAGGAAAACGTCGCAATGCTGCCTAAAAAGAGAAACGAGACGCTCCATAAGAGGCCGGAAGAAGAGGTAACGTCATGGTCGTAAGGAGCGCATTCCATAGTGTGCTGATGTATGATAGCCTGGCTATCCCGTGTCTCCACCAGATATCAGACAAGTGAACACAACGCCACCTCTTCACGAACAGAACAAAGTGGATGCATTGCTAGACTGGTCGCTCCCATCTGTATGTCGACCATATCTAAGGGAGTATGAGCACTTAGTTGTCTTTAAAGGAAATGGCACCTTTACCGCCTGTCCTATCAAGTGACGAATTGAAGGTTGCTGACTCTGGCCACAACACGAGTTCCTGTGGCTCAAAGTTTGTCGAGAGGTCCGTTGTTAGGCCTCAGTTCTCTAACAGCAGCGGTAGTAGTGGAAGCGTTGGGAAGAAGCGGAAATTCATGGACAGGGTTAAAGGCGAGGTCAAGGTCCTTTCGGGAAAGTTAGGAAATAATGAGAGCAAAATCGTAGAAGGCAAGAGAATGTTGGGCAAAGCATGAATGGTTTGATTGCTTTTAATTCTTAATCTCGAGAAAAGGGGGGTTGTTGTATGATAGAGGGAAAGACGATATAGTAGAACCTTTATCTTGTAATCATCATTCATTACTGCTTAATATAAGGGTGCAGGGTGGAACCAACGACTCTACTGACAATGTCAAATTTGATAATCTTATGCGGACACAGGACAAAATACGTACTACTTGGTCTCTTTAAGATACATTCGATGCCTGGACATAAATGAATAGCAATGTCGCTGGGGTGATTTGATACGCGTGAAAGAGCAACGGTTTGGATGAATCGCATGCATCGCGTCTCGTCGAGCTGACCGTCGCGTAAATCAGTGTTTGACAAGGCGTTTTTTTCTTATTAACGATGATCTTCTTCCAAGCAAAATCGCGCTCAAAATGCCATACTAAATTAGTAAGCGAAATCTACAGTTCTGAATAAGTACGCGGATATTCCATGAATGGTAGACGAACCTCAATGAACACCAGCTGTTGCTTTAGTTCGTCACTTCACCATACAGGTTGCTCAATCCTGTATATGCCCAATATCAGAACTAATCTGAATACGAAATCAATATATACGCCAACGAACGATGCGAACTTGTCGAGCAACGCAAGTAGCGGCGATCCAGATTGCTGCTTGCATTCCAGAAACAGAGATTGTGCTGTCTCCTAGCCATGAGACAGGATAATAAGACACTGATACTGGGGGTGTGGGTGATGGTAACGATAGGAAAGGTGCTGGTGACAGTTGGCCTGACTTGAACCCGTACATCCCACGTGCCAAGCCTGACTAAGCCTTATACTTCGGGCCGGATCTCCGTCTCCGCTTTCGTCTTAACTCGTATCTCTCATACATGGCACAACGCATGCATCCGTTTAGCCGGGAGGATCTGAGCAGAGTACAAGCAGAGCGTACTTCCAGCTCACACCAAAAGAAAAGCCAACTTGAAATCTATATCCTTGCCGTCTTTCTTACTTATATAATCACAAGTGACAATTTCCTTCATTACCTTTACTTTTACAACTAACAAGCTACCGAGGTAGATTAGTTTTACACTTATTTACCTAAGCTGTACTAGCAGAGGTGGCCAATTCACCCTGTTTCTATTCAATGTACTACGTCCCGAGATATGGGCGACAGTTTCTGTGACTGAACATCTAGTATGCTGCTTTTCTGGAATTTCTTCGGTGCCTCTTGCTGTTTCTCGGCAAAAATGCCGTCGGGCCATAGTCCTGACCTACAGGATATTATCCGACGACTCGGACCGGATCTATTATAGTCTCCGGGAAATGGTACTCGACGACCAGCTACAGTTGCTCTTATTTTCTCAGGACAGCCCATATTATCGACGAATTATCTATGTCACTTGACACCCTATGCAGCTGAATGTGAAGACGACTCCTTATTATCGCTGGTACGCATTCTAAGTATGCAATCGCTTACATCCCTTCATTCAGATTGACACTATACATGGAAGAACACAAATTTCTTAGTCAATATCCGCTCAACATGGAGCTCGCCGCAGTTTTATTTCTCTCTGTTCTCCTCTTTTTTCACTGCCCATCCATCTCTGATCCATCTATTTTCCTAGATATCTGGAATGGCGTAATAGCACAATAGCACAACTTGTTCCAGGTATGCCGTTGAGGAACGGTCCCGTGCTAGACGTCACATCTCCGGACATTTTTTGCAATGTGAATCTTACTCCCCCAAGAACAACTGTTCCCGTCGCGCCGGGAGCACTCTTGGATTCAATTACGATGGTATTTATCATCTGCCGCTATATATTTAGGATAGGCCTCAGGACCTCCTGTGGCAGATTGGGGTGGGATGGGTGTGGGGAGAGGTGGTACAAGCCATGCCGCAGGCATCCAGCGGGAAGAAGAAGCTCGACATTGATCATCCGATATGATAGCAGAATGGTGCGCTACTTTTACTCTCTTGTCGTTGACGTATTATTACACGGTTACAACTTAAGACCACTATTCCATCAGATATTCTGGCTTGAGAGGTGCGTAGATTATTTGCGGATCTTTTCACACTGAAATACACGATGTCTGGTATCTCGCTAGATTGGTTACCTGGATACGGCATGGTCTATTATTGAGCCTAGACTCGATTCAATTTTGTCCTGGGATAGATCAATCGAACTACACATTCCTTTCACCCCCCAGTTCTCCATTTTTGCGTCCAAATCAAGGTTAATGGCGGAGAATCTACCTCTCCAGCGATGGTCTCCATTCCAGGGTGTCTTTCTCGTACTGATTAGTTGTTAAATTTTTTCGTGTACTCACGCTAAAAACATACGTTATATTTAGATCCATCATTCAGAGTTAGCATCTGCGATCCCGCCTTTACGTCTTATTAGGAACGCTTTTCTATTTGCGCTCGGTACCGCCTAAATGTCCTTCAGGTACCAGGGCCTGCCATTTTTAGTGGATGATCAGGAAGCAAGAAACATCTGTAGATTGGCGATATTCAGTGGCCGAGTATCGTGCGAGTTTTCAGTAAATACGATACTTGCCTCATCAAGTAGGAACGCTCCGAGTGCCTACTGAAAATTATTCAGTATCAATCACGGACGGCGACAAAGGGTTTCTCCGTGAGAGTGTCTTGTGGTCACTCAGCGACCGTCATTTGAACGGTATTTTCCGCAGTCTTGTGGAGACCAGGGAGAAGAATTCTCATACCAGGCTTCTGGGTCATGAACCGTTTCGAAATGTCGCAATTTTCATGAGTTTCCATAAGTTGCGCTTTTTTTTGGCGAGTGGGGGATGTGAATAGTTATCCCTTTCTTGCTCATTGTCAGTCAAGTATTGAGATTCTACGGAGCTCTCTGAGACCCAACTTCGCGCTGCACAAAAGCAACTTTCGTTCCCGAACGGTGAAATGTCAATATCTCCGACTGCGTGTACAAGACTATAGTCCGCGTGGCATAGACAAAGATCTTATTTCCCGTAGCTTCTCCGTCATTAGAGCTTTCGGCTTATACTCTGAACAATGAACTATAGGCGTATTTAAGGCAACCTAAGTTTCAACTACTAGTATATCACAACATGACGATGAAGTTTGTCTCAAGCCTTTTATCACTTGCCATCCTCTCCCAAAATGTTTCTGCGTACTGTACGTCCTATAGATTTCCTTCTGTCTCTCAATTTTATCGACATCGCCATGGATATATGGACAACCCATATTGCAAAGAGCGCCACATCTCCCGCCGCAGTCCAGCGGCCGTAGAACACAACACCCCGGTCACAGATGTCGAATCACCCGGCATCACCTGCCATCGTAACGTCGACCCTTCTCCTGCAACCAAAACGGTCTCTGTCACTGCGGGAAGTACTATCAGGTTTCCGGATAATACACTTTATCATCAAGGCCCAGCAGCAATTATCCAGATAAAGCTCCGATTCCCGCCGCGGTTTGGGATGGGTAGGGTGTGAACTGGTTCATGGTAGGGAATTCGTCTTTCTCTGCGGGTATCCAGGGTCTGGACTCTAACCAACTGCGCGAATATATTGCGGAATGGGACACCACACCACTTTCACGGACTACGGCCTTTGTTAGTTGACTACGACGCTTCCTGTGGACATCCCTGTCGGTGAAATGAGTTCTACTCTCCGAAGATATTATTTAACTCTGGGATGATCTTATGTGCCTCCTGGTAATATTTCGCTCCGATTGGACAGGTCAGTTAAATAAACCTTTCAATGTCTGCGATTCATTATATGTCTTATCAGTAACAAGATCGTGTTCAATGGTACATCTCTTGTGCCCAAATTTCGTCCAAGGTATCGACACCAGGCTATGTTTCCCCTGATGGTGAGAACTTATTGGAGAAAACGATAAGTCGCTATTACATAGATCCGGGCATTACCGTCAATATCTACTACCCTGTGCCGACAGCATACACAATAAGAGTTCGGTGGTTTGTGAGGCATTTCATTTAAGAGTCCCTGACCCAGCTGTTTTGACTGGGTAAACGAAAAATCTTCTGTACAAATCGCACAACGGTTCGTTGTTATTATAATATTATCGTCCCAAGCGGCTTCTCGCTACCATATTTCCGGAGTCGAATTCATTATTTCGGATGTTAGAACTAATGATGGCGTCAACAGTGATTGATGCCAAGACGCGCCCGAAAGCCCCGATTTTGATATCCACCATGGTCATGGGCCGGCGTCTTATACACATCTCATTGCAGTTTGTAGTTCCAACATCACACCGAATTCAGCATCAAAACGTGTAAAAATACGAAGAGAAACTTTTTTAAAACCTATTCAGCTCGTTAGTAGGCAATGGCGAATTGCATTAGCATATGACACTAGTGATTAATTGCCGGTAAGTCACCTCCTCTTGCCGGAGGGATTTTCGTCGAGGTAACTTATCTGTCATGTGACTAGTTAAGCATATATATTCAATTTACGAAGTACACTCATATGCATCCAACATTTACTGATGACTTTCAGCTCCTGATAAAGAAAACCTGTAAAAACACGAACACAAAAAAGAATCAGAAGTTCAGCTCACCTGTCATGTGATAGGTGAGTAATGGTAAATTACCAGATCAACGCCCTTCCCCTCCGTTGGGTAAGGGTCGGTAAAAAAAAATGGAAACTTACAGTTCTTGATATTTCGTACACGATCATAGGCACCACCTTGTCATAAGCTGACCGAGACAGGGGTCGAACCTGCAATCTCCTGATTCGTAGTCAGACGCGTTGCCATTACGCCACACGGCCATGCGAACTTCTCAACCTGTATTATAAAGTCTCTGATCACATGTATGATACACCATCCAATCAAGGATTCAATAACTTACAGCGCCAGCGATCCTGCTCAGTACTCACAAGACTTTCCTATACCAAGCAATCCATGATTGTATCTTAAGGACGGTTCACGCATGCGTTAGTGCATGCCACTTCTATTCGGTAGTGATAACGTAAAAAAGCCCGCTACCGTTACTCATGATTGCATAGCAATGGAGGGCTCCACATTCCACACGTCCGTTTCAACAATTTTTCCAACCAAAAGATTACGATAGGAATAAGCCAATTCAGCGCGATGAGTGAGGGGAAGTATTCAGAACTTATTGGAGTGCAAGACGAAGCACAAAAAACAAACAACAGATGCATTCGAAGCTTGTGAGGGCGGACGGAAAAGCAACAGGTGGAGGTCTATTTTTAGGACATGATGCGACCAAGCAGAGACAAACTCAACTGATCCACGACGCCTGAGATACCTCCATTTTTTCCTTTCCCACCACGAACACCGTCGACAGAGCCTTTCTTCATCTCTCTACTCTTCGACAGCAACAACGGCGGCGACAGCTTTACCAGTTTTCTGCTTTAATAATAGCAGTACGCAACATGCCTGGCATCTGGACCCGTCATCCGCGTTATTCGCTTTTCGTGTTGATTGTGCTGGCCGCCACCCTATACCTGCTTAATACTTACCACACGACCCCGACGATCTCTACATATTCATTCATTCGTGACTCGGATCTGCCAGCTAGGCTGGCACGAGCAAATGCCATTTACGAAAAGACCCTCCGGGATCGAAAAGGACTCATAAGAACCTTTGGTCCGACTCCGAATGAAGTTTTAATGTACGCACGTGCCTTAGAGCTCAAATCTTGATCTTATATATACCAGGTTTCCTCCAGATAAGGATCCTTGGCCAGCTTATACCGTTTGTATGTGTCCAAAGGTCCCCCAGTCAATATGCTGCTGAATCCCGTCCAATATTCCAGGGGATTTTTTTCCAGCCTCGTATAATTGCCCGCATGAGGTAGAACGTCTTGGTGCGCTCGGTGATGGCGGAAAATGGGTCTGTGGGCTGTCTCGCGTGCAGGAAAAGCCGAACTGTGTTATTTATTCCATTGGTGTGTTGAAATACCCTCTTCGCGGACCGGGGCATTGACATTCGACTCAGGCATTAATTATGAGTCTTCATTTGAAGCGGAAATCCTTGCCAATACCCGGCATTGCGAGATCTGGGGTTACGATCATAGTGTGAAGTCATTCGGCCCTCAAATACCACGGTCCCTGGCGTCCCGCGCCCATTTCTTCCCATATGGCCTGGCAGGCAGCGATAAGGCGGCGACAGATGACTCACCTGCTATGTACACCCTCGAACGTATCATGGCAATGAATGGTTCGTTCCATTTCACTTTCCTTTGCGTTGACAGGTTACTTACCTAACATCTTAGGACATACCCACATTGACATTCTCAAGATTGACGTGGAGGGATGGGAGTTCGAAACCTTAACTGCTCTCATCGGTCCGTACTTGCACGCTGACAAGCCGCTTCCGTTTGGCCAACTTCAACTCGAAATTCACACATGGGGGAAACAATTCGCCGAATTCTTGACGTGGTGGGAGACACTCGAGGCAGCCGGTCTTCGACCTTTCTGGACTGAGGTTCGTCTCGACATGCTTTCGCTCATAAGGTTTGACTGGGTCCCCAACGTGTCAAAATGCGACCTTCGCGGCGTATTTTTTGGAGCCTAGTCTTAACCTTATGGGCGTACGCGTCGGTTGAAACTTTCTGACTCTCCGATCTTCTCCAGCCCAATCTGGTATATCAGAACTACAACAAACAGAGTAACACTGATCTTGCAGAGGTGAATGAAGTCTGGACTATTCCTTTGGCTGTCGGTGCTAACGGTTCTAAACAGTACTCGTTCCTGAATATTAAAGGCGACAACATATTCATCAAGGACCGTCCTAAGCGGCACATTGTCGCAGCTGTTGTCGACTAGACGCTCCGCTAGAGGCGTCTTGTATAACTTATGTAGTACGCTTACTGTATCCAATCAAATCCTGTAGATTATTCGCTTTCGTAGTTGGTTGGACTGCTTCTGTTCATATGTTATGACATCTATCGTACTTTTTTTGTTTGCCGCATTTGCCTTCCTTCTCTTTCCCCGGGACATTTACCACTTACTTAATCCTAACTTTTATATATGATTTCAACCGTTTGCCATCGCTTTGAATTCTTCGAAGAACAGCAAATTGCATCACGTTGGTTAAGGAATCCTATTTTGACGAACTAACGGGTTAATGCTATTGTCCGACGTGCGTGTCCAATACATTCGCCATTATTGCCTGACACTCTAGGCCTAATGGCTTGTGAACCGGGTACCCTTGGATACGTGCCGGGCCGCGCCGACCCGCTCACGGATAGGGCGCATCCCGAGTTGTCCTGTATACGCTCACTGAAACGACAATCCTTGTTTGAAACGTCCGTCCCCATCTGATAGGCAACGTCTTCTTCTGACATACACCCCATTCATTACTGGTCCAGATCACCGTTGTTCATTTCCCAGACAAGAACGTGCGAGGCATATTCCCTTTTCACGGTTTGGGGGGCCAGGGACGACATACAGACTTGGAATGCGGGACCTTACTCGCCACGTACACCTACTGCGGGTCAAGAAAAGAAACACTGCACAGCACACTCGGAAACCATAGCCCTTCCCGAGCGATCTTTTCAAATCAGTTGACGACGCCTCGACTCGGGGGGTTTTGGGGTGCCTAGGTCCGAAGAACGCACGCAACTTGTAGGGATGCGAAGGACACAGGCGCAAGGCTGAGAAATGAATAGGGATTAGGAACGCTAACCAGCGGAACCAATGTATGGGATGGCGATTGGGAGGAGACCGTTCGGTATTCTGATGGCGGAAAACTTTGTTGGAGATTTGGATCAGTTAAAGCGGATGTACCTCGTATCTTGTCTTGATGCCATGTAACCGGCTACATGCGAGTCGAGAGCCAAGGGACAAGCAAAAAAACCTTGGTGCGTGTATTACCGGGGAAAACCATCACTGACATACAACGGTCATTAAGCGAAGGTTGGCCTTGTTAGGTACGCGTTAGGGGAAAATGGTCGGGGAGGGGGAGGGGCCCATGTGAACGGTTTTTGGGGACGACTCACCGCGCAAAAAAACTAGTGCACACATGCGGTTACCGCTGGTTATTCACAGCTCTTCATCTTCGCCAAGAAGGCCAGAATCCGTACCAGACTCTTCTTCCTCGCTCTCTTTCGATAGACTGTCACAGACCGTCCACAGGTCGTTAGCAAGCTCCTTAAGATCGTCAATGTCATCAGGAACGACGACATCCAGGGTCCGTCTTCGGAGCGTTGAGTCGACAAATTTGGCGTAGTCGGCAAACATACGCGCAGTACCGCTAGATGTTGAAACCGAAGAGAACGTTTCTACGGGCGTGGGACCGGAACGTGACCAAGATAAGGGGCTTTGGGGCACGAGTGCCGGTGGTACTGGGTACGCGGGCGCGTGCGTGCTGTCGCGGAGTAAAGGGTTGATATGAACGCCAAGCGCTAGCAAGAAAGACAGGTTTTACCGTGTGATAAACATGTCGTGCAGGGATGACCGCGCGGACCACTGATCATATGCCCCGAGACTGTGGGTTGTGAATCCTCGGGTCACATCGCGGCGGGAGTACTGGCGACGAGTCTGCAGCCAGAGCAGGTGAATAAGCTCGTTCCAAAGAGCACGGTTCCTTACATCGAACCTCTCCATGTCGGAGAAGTTGAATATATTGCTTTTCAGGTCCTGTTCGGCAGATGTTATAGTCGTAATTCCGCATATCTCGGCGTAGGGGGGTCCACGGACGTTCAGTTGAGAGCAGAAGCTGGATATGGAATCCGCAGTTTTGCGCAATCTATTCAGCCGTACCGGTAAAGTTAGAAGTGCTGTAGGGTCTGGTGATCAAACTCTCTTACCTCAACGGAAGGGTCGAGCTTTCTATGTGCGCGCAAATTATTCCAGATGTATGGTAAAGATCATTCTGCAATATGACGGGGATAAGTTTCTTGTCCTAACCGAGGTATTGTGGAAGTAAACACCCACTTGGGTTTTGAGCTGTGGTGAGGCTTCGTAATGGGCCCACACAGAAGGAGATTGTATGGGAACTGTGAGAGACGCGGTCTCGCTTAACCCGCGCAGATAGAGCGCGTCATTGATCAATCTTCTCGTTCCTCTGCGCTGAAAAAAGTGTTCATGGAAAGAAGATGATGTGTGAGAAATTGCATACGTCCTCGACATCAATTTTCCATCCATAGGGATCGGAGAGCAAAGGAAAGACCAAACATGGGATTTTCAGCATATCATCGTGTAGTGCCGTGAGGAGCGAGTGCATGAAGGGACCAAAGCTAGCCGTATCATTTAAAACTTGTACCCCCTATTTTTACATGAATTTGCGAACAATTACGAGAAATTTAGTACCCACCTGGACAGAATCAGACTCTTCAAGAAATAATCTAACAGAGCCTTCCAAAAGAGAAGCGTCCTGGGAAAGTTGGTGATATTATAGGAAGCGCAGCAAGCGATGTGATTTACCTCATCAAACTGCCTGAAGTACTGTTCTCCCTGCTTCCAGTCTCCTTCCGTGGACTCCCAATCCAGGGTCTGGGGGACCATCTGGATAGACTTACGGGTATAATAGACACGACTGAAATCCGACCAGTATCTGATGGGCTCACGGTGGCGCTCATTGCCTAATGACACTTCATCGCCCTGAGGTGCCTCCGTGCTGTCCTCGTCGTCGATCTTTCTGGGAGTAATCAGGTCTTGTCTGTATTCCAATACGCCACCATCCCTTACATTCCAATCAGTTCAGAACGAATACGTACAAGTGCCTGGCGCCCTTACCACGTTTCTAGATCATCCTCTACAGAGGGATTGTTTGGGTTTGCGTCATGGATGACGTGAGTACTGGCTACAGCCCCAAAGTTGCCTGGCACAAGGTTAAGCCTGGTTGCACTCTGGCAATTTCAGCGCTTACTCTTCTTATCGAAGGCGAGCAATCTCGGAACACATGTAAGCTCTCCCTGATACAGAAAACGTTCAGAAACATCATCAACATATCGTGCTGTCACCCTCGTACCTGTCGGCTGTATTCTTCCCCAAAGGACGTCACATGAGAAATTTGGGTCGCATCGTCAGTTTCGTCGGACAAATAGGCCTCTTGAGTATTCCAGAAATGAGTTCCTACATAGTTGGAGAGCATCCCGGCCTGAATATACAAGATTTCCCGCATTTTTTCAGAGTTTCGCAAGCCTGCACACGATTTAGAGAGTGAGGAAGGGAAAAGTATAAGCCGTGGGACGTCAATGCCTTATTTGTCCGGCCATCATTTTTCTCGGCTTCTCTTCGATCACTTTGCTGGCATTTTGCTGACATGTTCTACTTTAGCAGAGCAGAAATTTAATTCATTGAGATGGCAGGAAGATATGGCTTTCGATGGTGGTGGTTGCACACGAAATTTTTTTGGCAAGGGCGGACGGTTCCGAAACTCGGGCGCTGCATCAAATATCGTTCGGTAAATAGGCGCGAGGGTAACTGTCCAAGCCCATTTGATCACAAATCACATTCGGTTCACCGGTCACAATATAACATAATTTCATTAAGTACATTATTATCCCTACGGTGAATAAACGGACGATTACTTTTCAACTTTCAACACGGCATTCCCCCTTCAACGGCATTAATCTGGTGACCCTCTATCCAAAACAAGGATACCTGTCCCGAATCTACTTAAGTGGGTTTTCGGGTACGCGGTACACAGCACACAGGAGTCAGAAGCTCTCCAGAGAACAGGCCACTCAAAACCCATCTACGCTCCTTAAGGAGGCGGCTGAGAACTTCCAGCAGGCTATCTTCGACAGTTTGACCTATCGCGCCACCCACAACAATCGACATGACAGACAAAGCCGATACCCGACAGCCCGACAGATCTTGTTCATAGCTTTTTTTTTACATGAAGCCGCAATATGCCAACCGCGATCAGCCTGAGAAAATCATCCATCTCGAGCAATGAACAGTACACTTTAAGCTATTGCACATGTTGAGATTCGATTTTACTGGCACCGGGTCGGTAAAAACAGCCCACCTAGATGTCATAAACCGATTCGAAACCTGTCCAACACTCGGCGATCCTCTGACGATAAGGGTGTATATGATGCCGGAACGGGGGTTGCACCCCCACGACTGGACGACGAAGAAGTCCTTTCATGAGTGTGAGAACGACCAGGATATCCCATAGCTGACAAAGGAGGTAGAATAACCCGCTGGTTTGGATCGCGAGCGTGGAAATTCGGCATCGATAGCTGGAGAGAACCGGGGTTGACCAATGGCGAGGACATCGAAGGTGTTGGCGGGGAGGCTGGGCTTTGAGTTCCATAATCGGAGTGCCTCGAAGGTCCCGCCTGGTCATTCGCTTCAGTGTCGTCGGAATAATACGAGAAACGATCCGTCCTCAGAGGTACAGTCTTGGTCGTCATTATGACGCCCTTCGGTACCTGAATGCGACGAAGGTTTTCGTAGTTTTCGATGACTGGGAGCGAAGAGTAGTCGTTGCCCTACAAGGGAAATGAGCTTTCGCCCCAAGACAGTAAAGTTTGGAAAAGTCCTACCGAGAAATAAGCAACGACGTGCCACTTACGCCCTTCTTTGGCGCCCGGAAGATAGACTAGGGCGGAATAAGTCTGCTTCGTCAGTCCATTAGGCTTTGACGGACGATCCTTTCGTCTTGTAGGGGGAGGTATAAGTGCTGTCGGATCTGTGGCTCTCCGGGCTCTATTCGCGATGAGGATAGATTAGCACTTATATGGCATGGCAGAGCCATAGAAAGAGGATACCTGCGCGCGGCCTTCGCATCTCGTTCTTCTTGAGTCGTTTCCACCTTTTCTTCATAAAATAAGTAGTCGCCACGCATGCGACTTTGTGACCTAAAATCACTCCCATGTGAGCATTAACAAGTAATTTTGGACGTCCAGCAGAATACCATCGTCGTCCATCGGTCCACCGAAGCAAACCGCCTTCGTCTTCCGCCTCTTCCCAGACGAAAACGTTCCCCGCAGTCAGCTGGTCCCTCTCGGAAGCCACAAGCCGTCGCTTGATCAGAGGTAATATGTTTCTCCTGACGGCTTCCAAAATAACCTGAGCGTCATGGGCGTCCCGGAGATCTACATTTTAAAGTGAGGAATTTGTCCACAACGCCTGGCACGAAGGGCTGGGACTCACGAAGTGACGGATGAGTCAACGCTCGATTCGCAGAATTGTTGCTGTAGTGAGGTACAAAAGACATGTCCGTCGCGTCAAGAGAGACCAGAACCCAGAGCAGAGAGCAGACTCCAATCAGGAGGAAGGATGAGCTGTAGACCAAAAGACTAGAGGCAGGAGACGTTTGATATATGAGAAAAATAAGCCCGTCCCACACCAGTGGTACAAGTAGAACGAAGCTTCCTATTAAATGGAATTACGGACCTCTCAAATGTGGCCTAGACGAGAAACACATAACGGACCGCGCTTGCCGAGGGAGATTTGCAGTTTTTTTCTTACGCATTAGGCATCTTTCCGAGAAATACGTGTAGTTTTCCATTTAACGATGAACCAACTTTGGGCCGCCAACGTAAGTTCGCATCACGGCCTGAATAGACTTGAATCAAATTCCAGCGGATTCCGTAGTCGATCTCGATCCCGGTTCCAAAACCCACCACCAGAACACCTCAAAAGAAGCACACAGGCGGAATAGCGGGGAGAATTCTCGGGATGCCGAAGTTTTTCCCTGAAAGTGAAATTAAAAATATCAATATTTGGTGGTGGAATGACAAATCATTTCTACTCAGGCATCGCGCCCGGGAAACGCAGCTGGAGTTGAACCTGAATGTGCGCACGTTCACACGACCTTGGAAACAGCCTTACACAACGTAGGCAGGCAGATTTGAGAAAATATAAATCGTTTTGGACGCTTACGTTGTTTTTCATGATGCCTGATTTCTCGATTTGACGAGGTGGCATCATGCAGCGTACCGAGAACGGAGGTAAAATAGTCAATTCTCACCGCAATCGTGAGACGCCTAGAAAAAGAACAGATCGATGCCCCTGTGCCTAGTTTATTCGGGTTCATATTCTTTTTTCCAACGGCGTAAGTAGACCCTTGGGTGAAGAATGACATCACCTTCTGAAAGATAGAACACGCATTTATCTTTGAGATTAGGGGGAACTTAAAATGTTAGTGAACGACGAGGCAAATTAAGAGGATATCAGCGAGGGTGGACACGTTTACCATCAAACGGGTGGGTAAAGGCGCCCTGCACCTGTCACGACATTGATTAGAGCTTCATTCCAACAACGGAAAGTAATGCTGATCAATCAGGTCTACTTTACCTGGTGTACATGTGGTCCATCGTGAATATTTATATGGCGGCGAGGTCTAAAGTCTTGAAATCCAACCGAACCTGGTGTCTTGCGGGATTGCCCACAAAAGGTCAGGATTACTGTCGTCGTCCTGAATCCAGGGGATCTAGAGGGAACAGCGTCGTCATGGGTGATGGAGAAGATGTATGACTTGTGCATATGGCTGAGACCAGGTGGTCAGTGTGAGTCATGTTAGACGTAGGCACCCGTTTTGAGGGTGATAACATGCGGTAGTTTGGGTTTTGCTCATGAAGAAAGAAATGCCATGTGCGACGTCCTCTCTTTCTAGTAGCTTCCCATTGACAATTGTTCGCGAGGGCTCCCGCAGCATACAGACGTGCCGGCCTAGAAGCGATAAGGATAGTCTAGAGATTGAACTGATAGCCAAACTTGCCAAAGTTTAGACAGATATGCGTAGAAGCGTGACCACTGACCAATATCCATCTTCACGACAAATGAACATGATCGGCAACATTTCGGACAAGGCACGTATAAGGTCCTGTGCCTGTTGGGGAAGAAGGAGCCCCGGAGAGCCCTGAAAACCCCGTCAAAATTTCTGCGGCGAGTTTCTAACCAGAAACTCTGATGATCAACTGCCGGCCGCGCACGACCTACGGGGCTTTATTAGCGCGTTTACCGATATGGCCGGCGGACGGTGACTAAATGGACAAGGAACTTACCGGCAAAGTGATGCCTGCGTGCAATCGCAGGTCGCAGTCCGGCGGATCCAACTCGAGTTTTAGACCTGACCGTTCCTTTGGGAATGATTGGCATCGCGCCACCATGGAACTGGAGTAAACTGTTTGCGGGGTAAAAGATGCCCAGGCGCCAGTAAGATAGAGCGGTAAGATGCGAATGAATCTTACACGTCAGGTTTGTAACGAAATCCCCCTTGGGATAAGGGACCCTGTATCATAATTGTCGTCGCGAGCGCCTCCCGAAGCACTATAGTAACCTCAACAGCCGAGAAAATTGAATATCACCGGCTACAGCCCTTATTGAGCCCGAATATTTTGTTGTCAGAGGCAGAGACTACGGTTCTCATAGGAAATGAAGCACATCGATGGATGTCAGCATGGTAGAACGACAGCATGATAGTTATGTCTGACCCAAAGTTCATGTCAAAGAAGTCAAAGGAAAGCATGCGACAGAATGTGGGATGACGTACCATTATATGGGCACGGGGAACTTGGTGGCACTAGGACGGTCCGATGCCACCTTAACAGCTATCACATATGAAAACAAGAACGTTACCGCACTACACCATGCTTCAAGCAACTCGGGAAGGCCTGTTTCCGAACTTCGGAGTCTCTTCAATCATTGAAATGCGACAACGACTGACCCAAAAGGCGTCATCCAGGCTCACTTTTCCCAACTGACACCGAACCCATGGCGTGCTTGACATGGAATCGGATGAGGCGCTCGGGTCCAATATAGAGCCCTGGTACTTCTACACAAGTCGTTATTACAATTTCTTGTGCAGTGTGTGCGTGCGCAGTTTCTGGAACAAACAGCCTGTAAAAAGGGCAAGTAAGATGAACTTGGCCCCCCCTTCACGCCCGACACCAAACTATGTCCGGATTTAGCTTCAATTTAGTTCAATTTAGCATATTTTAGGCTTCGACTTGACAGCTCTATCCGAAGTTAGCATATTTTGGGCCTAACGAAAAGCCCTCGAAGGAGCAGCCCTACCTCGGCGAGAAAAGAAAGTGGAGGCAAAAAAACCTAAATGAGGCCAAATTTGCTTGACCAGGAGGACGACGACATTCTTGCTCAGCAGACGCAAATATGGGCACAGCCACGTCCATGTGCCTCCGGCCAGGAAATTGGCCACGATTGAGGTTTGTAAAAATAAACAGACAATAGAGGAAATTTTTTAGATTTGCACCCCGGTGGACGAATCAAAGTCATCATGTTCACAGAGTCGACAGCTGGTGCGACAACTGTCTCTTCAGGTCACAGGTGATTTGGCGTATTACAATCTAGATACAATTGTTGAATCTGGTAATTGGACACAAGGATACGAATGCAGTGGATATAGATAACAGTAATGCCAAACTAAGATATGCTCTAAGTCCGTAGAATGCAAAAAGCCAGGATTCCAGACGAGTAGATTATAGTGACGTCGGTTCTAAAACGTCAGGTTTGAAGCGTAGTCGAGCGATGAGAATGGTGACGTCTCGAGAGCCGTTTCTGGATACCTTACTGGCAGACACGAAAGGAAGGTCCTCGTGATAGGAAGGACCAAGTTCAGAGGGAACCTCGTTGTCGGTTTTGATCACACCCCACGGCTGACCATTTCTAGGAGGGAGAACATTAAAGTAAGCCTATTGCGAACGTCACGTCAGTAAATGATAACTCTAAACAATTAATCAGATAACGCACTTGTCCATCTGGATGTCTATGACTGACAAACAGTGCATAATCGGGAGTAGTTAATGTTCCGATAACTAAATGGCTAGTTCAGAATAAGGCACTACGAGTACAGATCTAGAACCACCCACCCAGGAAGAGGTCCTCCTTCTGGATACGATGTTGGGTTCCGTACGTCGCCAGGATCTCGTCAACATTAGCCTTGAACCACTTCTTCGGCGCATCTAGGTTCTCAACATATGTGTAAACAGTTGTCTCCGTGTACAGAAATGCGGTCTTATGTCCGGCACGAAGCGGGTGGGAATACCGCCGCCTAGAAGAACAATGATATCAATGACACGGTGCTCGATCGTCAATAAGTATATTACTCACGAAGATATGCTATCATTCTTCCTGAATATGTTAGTAAAAGCATCGAGTCCCCTTTGGGCGGCGCTACGCTGGTCTAACCGCTGATTCTGCGCCGTAATCTTGCCGTATCCATGTACCGACGGCATCCCAGTCGGATGCTCATCAGGCGATTTCTCTGGATTGACACAGTTGAACAAGGTTACAAAGGCACCTTCCGGCTTCTGTAAGTATCCAACAGCGCCAAGGTACACCTGAGACGGGGTCCATAACGGCAGGGTGACTGTGCCCAAAGATTAGCCTATTTCAAATGATGCATCTAGACGTCAAAACCTACGAGACGGATGGAACTTGTGGGTCAAAAGTAGCCTGTACCTGCGTTCATCCCGGGCTTCAGCGATTCTTTTGTCAGCGACGGGTGGAGAATCATAACCGTCGTATTCCATCATATTGCGAATGATTTCATCTTCTGACTGGGAACTAGGGGTGGTCGACTCAGCAGTGGAAGAAGCGCGGCTCAAAGGCGCTGACGAAATGTATGCCATGGGTTCAGGCATGTGGACATTCATGGGAGCCTCTCGGAACGGAAGAGACGGCATTGGAGGTGAGGCCGACATGTCTCGAGCGGTACGGAATGATGCTGAAGGAGAACCTTGCAGCGGACCGAAAGCCAAGTCGCGAGCTATAAATGGATGAGAAAAATCCGCCAGGAGATTTAGAGACTTACGAGGCGTGCCAGGTAACAAAGGTACAGGATGCATGTCGGGGCTGGGACGCGAGACACGGAACTCGAAACTTTCGTTGTCCTGCCGTTCAGGGAATTTTGGCAAGACGACCTCCTCAGGTAATCCCGAGCTTTTTCGCATCTGCTTCAATTCTTGAACGACCGTGGAGAAGTTTGGACGCATGAATGGGTCCTTCTGCCAACATGCTCGAATCAATTTTTGCAAAGCCGAAGTACTGAAACGCGTCGATGGAATAACGGGACGAGAATCTTCCCCTGGTACAATTATTAGGACATTTTCAGGGGTAAATTTAGAGTAACTTACTAAGAACGAAATGCCTAACGGTATCATCGTCCATGAATGGCCAGGGCAGTCGTCCCATGGACAGAATCTCGATGCAGCACATCGCAAATGCGTACACGTCCATCTCAGTAGTCAGCTGGCTTAGACCCATCATCAACTCCGGCGCCTGCCACCTCAATGTGCCGTCTGTAGAGTAATGATGAGTGCGGGATTCGGAGTTCGCAACATTAAAACTTACGAGGCAGGGGCGTCCCACTGATACGAAAGGCTTCCGATTTCATCTCACTCTGACCAAAGTCAGAGATGACGCAGCGAAGCCGATCATCGACAAGAACATTAGATGCCTGTTAAATGGTCATCGATTGGGGTCAAAACCAATAAATAGAAGACAACCTTGAGATCCCCATGCAACACGCCCTTACTATGCAAGTATGCCATTCCCTTGGCGACCTCATGCATGAACTTTAGAAGGTCCCATCCCTTCCCGCCATCAACTACCAATGAGTCTCCACCGATGCTATCACTTCTTCCCCTGCCAGTAGGCAGGTCTAGCCCAAGGCCTACTCTTTGAATCGCCTCTCTGGCCCTCCCTGGGCTAGCGCCCATAGAATTCCGCGAATCGGGTAAGCTCCCAGTCCTACTCTTGCCCCCGTCCATCCCTCGCAAGAACTCCACCAACGTTCCGTTCTTCAGGTAGGGACTGACGAAGAACCACGGTGGATCACCACTAGCACTGCTGGCACCATATAGCTCCAGTACGTTCGGGTGTTGCAGCGTCTTCCAGATTCCGACCTCTCGGATGAACAGATTTCTTGGGGTCGTCTCTGCAAGAACTTTGATAGCCACGGTTTGTTTACGCCACGTTCCCCTATAAACATCAGAGAAGAACCCGATACCGATCTTTTGCTCGCGGTCAACTTCATAACTATGCCAGCATGTCAGCCAAATGCGGTTTCAGAATAACGAAAACGCCTACCGAGTGATGGTCCAACTTGGTAGATTCAAGTTTGCTTCGGCACCTTCACTCATCCGCCGCAATGCATCGATACCGCTCTCCATGAACTCTTGATCCAACGTATCTTCCCTCTTCACGGAAGAAATTTCTTGACGCTTCCTCCTGCTGTCTGTACTACTGTCACTGGTCGAACTCCGGGTTGTGGACACTGTTTTCGATCTCTTTATTTCGCCTGCAACAGGCAAGACAGCTTCCCTCCCCTGCATACTAATCCTCCTCACCATCTTGATCAACTTGCCATGATTGTGCCCGGCGCTGGAAATAGATTCGGCGTCATCAGTTGCAACTTCCTTCCCTCTTTCCTTTGACAGTGTTGCTAGGGAAGGACCGTCGCTGCCTACACCGTGATCCTCAACATCGGCCTCATCTCCGCTACTGAAAATGCTGCCTTGCCTCTCCACGATCTTTTCCAACGCTCTTTGTAATGTCTTGATGGCCTCAGGCATCTCCTCCCTCGTTACGCCTAATGTTTCTACCATTTGCACATCGCTGCCAGCGCTCAGAGCATTCCGCAGCAACGCCCTCAAATCAGCTGCATCCATCGTCATGTCGTGTTCGTTTTGCTTGGCGCTCAATTCCTTGAGAGTTGGCAAGACGGTTGCTGGGGCAGGTGACATCAATCTTGGCGAAGTTGGAGTGTCGGACGAAGCACTAGATGCCGGGAGCGGAGGGGTAGACAGAAAGTGATATTCAGGTGGGAGAGAGAGTGACGCAGACGAAGGAGATTTGAAAGGGCCAGTGTTGAGCGATGCATAGGAACCAGAACCAGGGAGGCCGAGAAGGGCAGGCAGCTTGGGGGTAGTTTCCTCTTCCCGTATGCCTGTAAGTTGAAGGGCATTGTCCACAGAAATGGCATTGGACCGCCTCAGCGACTCAATGATGACCTCTGTGTCCTTCTGCCTTCGCTGTTCTGACGCCTGAACCTGTTTGAGGATACGAATTTGGATAGAGAGCTAAAAAAAAAATTAACAGGAAATAAATGGGTATCTGTAGCTAGCACGTACACCAAACGTTTCCATAGCGTCCTGTAGTCCGGAATCACAGGCCGCAATTTGCCTTAAAATCTCATCTCGTCTAAGATAGCGCTTGAGGAAAGGACGATGAATCTGCTTTTGAAGGAAAACGTAGACCTCGTTGAATGCGCTAAAGATTTCGCGTAAATTGATTACACGACAACCGTAGGGCACGAAGAACGTACTCTGTGAGTTTCGAGATAGGAAGGGACAACTCAGTGCCGACCATATCACCAGCTTCATGTATCTCTTGCCGAATCGACAAAAGGATATTTGCACAGCGTTCCGTCAATCGTAGGCATTGTAAACGATTCATCTAAGAGCCAGTGAGATGGTATGAATGAGGGAAAGCAGATTACATACATCTACCAGCTGCAGGGTGTCCCATATCTGAAGCAGCATTCCCGCGATACTTTGCAAGCCTGGAACTGGAGCAAATTCAAGCAAGTCTTGACTCAACACCAATGCTTCGTGGCCAACATCGAGTGCATTACCCAGGATCGATGATGCCGCTTGAGCCACGCGCTTAAGTCATCGTAAGTAATACCGTTACGTTCCAAATGGCAAGATCTTTACCTGTCTAGTCAGAACCCAACCCTCCTTCTGCTCCGCGGGCAATGAATGTCTGCGCTTCGGCGATTCCTTCCACGGTCTTGGAACGAACTCGCCTTTGCCCCACCATGTCGACGCCGATTCTCCAAGAGATGTGGGCGCTCCGACAGACTTTTTCCAAACGGACTCATCAATGACACCTGGTGACTTGGATCGAGACCGCGAGCGGAACGAGGAAGACTCTTTGTCTCCCAGAATGGCGATGGCCAGTGATGAGGTAGGGGCAGATAATAGCGGGCTGGTAGGCAGCTCTCCGAGCGTCGACACTGAGTGCCCTCGACGTCGGCATTCAGGTCTGGGGGAAGAAGGGTTGAGCGGTGACGACACTTTAACGATTGACGCCGACTCTGAGGATGGAGGAATATGCGCAGTGTTCGCTTTTTCCATGGTATAAAGTTAAATAAATGCCTCTGGGCGTCGTCTACAACGGCGAGCAGTGAGGTCGTCGATGGAAACAGCAACGGTGAAGATTGGTGGTGTCAAAAGGGTAGTACTCGTGGGAAGATCTTTCCGATTAGATTTCAGATCAGTGCCAATCGGCGGAAGTATCGGTGCAAATCTGCTTGGACTTGAAATTATCGAAAAGCAAGTCTGTCAACAATGCACTTGGGAAAATGTGCCCCATGCTACTTTCATTTCTCTTTTATGTGAGATGGACAGCAGGGCTATCTGATGCGTGTACATCTACGTGTGGTGTGGCTTGCCTACGATCTTGTATAAACCTGTAGCGCAACTGTAGCCACCCGAAATGGTAAGTAATTTGATAAATTCCCCGCAGATAATTTTTACTTTGATGATCACCAGCTGCTGCAGGTGTTCCGCGTATTCCTAGCTGTATACCTCCCTGCCAATATGTCCTAGAGATGGTGTTTTTCTTCAACCGCCGGTCTCGGGCTCTTCTCACCGATTCACCACAAGGTAACACATGATCCGGGTGGTAACCAGCACTACACATCACCTCAACGTCGGAGGAGCATTTAAATCTTTGTGACTCTTCTTCTACTGCTGCGCTTTCTCCTTAATGGAAGGTCACAACCGTACCTCACTGATCTGGGCTGTCTCCTCTGCTGCAGGCTGGTGCTTAGATGCAGTAGTTTTGTACTCTCGGTCCATGATGCATGAGGGTCTTCCATGGACGTATACTTACTCCTTGGTTATGCCGTTGTTCCACCGACCAGCCATGCAGTTAACGTCATCGCTAATTACAGCTTCCCGTCTCTAAAACTTGTGCTTCCAGTGACAAAAATCCATAGTCATTTTTTCCAATTAATGTGACTAATTTGATGCAACTCCATCGGGCACTGAGCTATCATTTTGCATGCTGTCATCTTCCTCCACATTGACGGCCCCGAAGGAAGCTCTCGAGATCATCCTCGGACATATGGAGGAAATGCTCAGGGCTCTCTTAGGGGTACTGGATCAATAATCGTCAAATTTCTCCAACGAATTTTGCTGACTTTCTTCCCACGGAAGTAGTTGTTTGCTAACAGTCATGGCAATGATGACTCCCTGCCTCTGGTATCAGGGGAAGCATCGTCTTACCGCGGCATAACCTTCTGAACCTGCGATATGGGCACAGCATACACAGGAACTATTGTATCGACTGAGAAAGTTGCTGTGGAGTTAGGCAGCCGCCTCATACCCTCCACGTATTCCTCTCTCCAGCGTGGCGCTTCGTGGATCATACCTGTGTATCAAGCGGTATCCAAAGACGGGCCGACCGCTTGAACTGGCACACTCTGGAGGTGCTTTAACTGACAACTGGACTACGAGAGCGAGAATATAGAACCGCAGTATTCCGCGCGACCACCAACATAGGGATTGTCCGGAAATCATGCATTTCATTGTCGGAATGGCATATTCATTTTCGGATCAGTTACCCTTCTTCACCTGAGGAATACCACTCGGGATCGATACTAACTTGGTGCGAGGAACCCTACTGTCCCCCGGGTCCCCACCGAGCTTCCAAGCGCAGACCCTCCTTCCTCCCCGGCTGGCCACCATGGCGTAGCTATTTCGATGACATCCTGGTGCCTGGAGCTCCCGTGCTCTGGTACACATCTTTCGAGGTGACATCAGGCAGCTCTGGAGTCGGGACGGATTGGCCACTGGCATCGGGGTCGACGACGGTATTTAGGGTGACTGGCTGAGGAGATGGTTGGCGCCCTACGATGGTATTCAGGTATTAAAGACTGGAGGAGACATTTACAAATTCACGTACCGGCTGGGCGACCGTCGACGATGCCTTGGTTCGAATGTTGGGTAGCTGTGTAATTTTGAGCTCCTGACATGGCTTGCTTAGTAGGGACTTTCGGGAGTTTAGGAAGGGTTATGTATGATATTGATAGAATGAGTGATGTCAGGATGAAGTCAGCACCACAGGATGGATAAAGTGACAGAATATTGCATCATTGGTATCCATGAACAAATTAATATTATACTCTTGCGCCATAATTTTGGCTGTACAATAAAGACAATGTCGCTCTTCGAGTGCCATTATAGGGTTATTACCTTAAAACGCATACCAATTCTGCAATCTGGTGGTGGTATTAGTATTGGTAGAAGGACAGCAAAAATAGGGGCCAGCGCAAAATTCAGAGGTTGCCACGCACGTGGCAATATCATCCACCATTGAACCAAAAACAGGTCTTGTCGATGCCTGGTACATAGGTTGATTTCTGACAAATTGGAACGTATTGGATACTTACCTTCTTACAGGTGTCGGTAATGTGTTATTTTGTTCCCGGGCTTGCGGCTTGCCAGACTTGTTTTTTGATATCGCTGAAATCACTGTCAATCCCATGACTCGGGTTTCTTCTCTTCCTCTTTGTCTTTTCTCCGAGTTTAATCCCCAGGACGGTATTCTTGATAGCTTCTATCAAGAGTGAAAGGAAACGTCGAAGAATGTAGAACTTATGCAATTCCAGCTCGACCCGAGGAATCATCGTAAGTTTCCGTCAACCGCCATTTCTTTGCGGTAATGCTCAGGACAGAAAATCTCTTTAGCAGGCGAATTTTCACTTTGACGAGCGTTCACGGCCGATATTCGGCTTTACTGTCGTCGGGCCGCCACTGGCAACATCATCCATGTTTGTATCAGCTGTTCAAGTACCACCACCCAAAGATGCCATCCGCGGAAATAAAATGGCGTCCTTCATCGGTATAAAGGACAGGGTTGAAATTCTCCAATGATTGTGTGACGATGATGAGACGGAACCTCGCCCTTTCCTGCTTGCTGCTCCCCGGCGCATTTGCTGACTTGATTTCACGCGCCACGAACGCAGATGGATCCACCCCGTTGTACAAAAACGCCAATGCGTCAATTGAGGATCGTGTCAAGGATTTACTCCCTCGGATGACGTTGAAGGAGAAGGTGGCACAACTGTATGTCGGCCCTTCTTCTTTGTCGTGTTTCTTTTCTTGATAATCGCCCCGCAGGATACAGGGAGATATCGACGGGTGGATGAACACGACAGATCCCCTCGATAACACGCTTACGTTCAATAAGACGGGGCTGGAGGAGATGGTAAGTTTGAAAGCGGGATCGATCTGGGCTGGATACGAGATGCCATGGGAGAAATATGCATTTGCGATAGAAACGGGACAGAGGTATCTTATGGAGAACACGACCTTGGGTATTCCAGCCCTCTTTGAAAGCGAAGGTAAGCTCTAATGTTTTTATGATTTCTGTCTCCGTCTCACAAATGATCAGGACTGCATGGTTTCACGAACAACGGGACGATATTCCCCTCCCCAATCGGGCTCGCTGCTAGTTTCAACAGGGATCTCGTACAAAATGTTTCCACAGTCGTCTCGAACGAGGCGGAGGGTTTTGGTATCTCGCATATCTTTGCGCCTGTCCTAGACTTGTCACGTGAGCTACGCTGGGGCAGGGTGGAGGAGAACTTTGGCGAAGACCCATACTTGACCGGAGAGATCGGTTTAGCTTTCGTTCGCGGTCTGCAAGATGGTACTCGTCGAGGGGTGGAGAGCGGGCAAGGGCGGAAGAGAATAGCTGCAACGTGCAAGCATTTTGCTGCGTTCGGGAGTCCACTGGGTGGATTGAATTTGGCACCTGTGGCTGGAGGTGAAAGGGACCTGAGGACGATGTATCTTCCGCCATTTGAGAAGGCCTGTGTGGAGAGCCTGAGTATCATGACTGCATATTCAAGTTACGACGGCATCCCCGCTATTGCAAACAAGCGTACGCCATTTTACCTTGCGGTTTGAAGAGCAAACTAACGCTGGCGGATTTAGATATGATGATTGATATCGTTGGTCGCGTTTCTTTGTCCTGTCTCGGCAGTGTTTTGACCACTTTCTACAGGTACGAGAAGAATGGGGCTATCCCTATTGGGTCACTACAGACGCTGGATCTCCCGACCTGTTGATCACCCTGCACGGGACATGCGAAACGAGAGAATGTGCAGCGAAGACCACTTTAGAGAACAGTCTCAGCGGCGAAATGGGCGGTGGTACCTACACCTATTTGACTTTGGTCGGTAAGTTTAAAGCTAGCCCTCTTTGTCTTGAACATTGCTCATTGTAGATACTGTAGACCAAGTCGGAGAAGGTCTCGTCAATGAGTCTGTTATTGATCAGGTTGTTTCAACATTACTGCGAGTCAAGTTTGAACTTGGCCTGTTTGAGAGTAAGTTTAGTCCAAGATCTGATCTCTCAGGGCTCCATCCTCACTAATGCTGTCGTTGCAGATCCATATCCTTATGACGACTACGCATCAACCGTCCGCACTTCAGCTTCTCGGGACGTTCTTCACCAGATTGAACTGGAATCAATAGTCTTACTGGAAAACCGCGACAACGTACTTCCATTGAGTACTGATATAGGCAGTGTGGCACTGATTGGTCCTCAAGCTGGCGTCGTCACGGTGGGGTCAACCTTATTCATCTAAATGCATGTAAATACTGATCGGACCTCGCAGTTCGGCGATTATGTATTTTTTAACGCCTCGAACAACGGCATATCACCTCTAACCGGCTTTGAAGAGTACCTCAGCAGCATATCGAGTGCAACCCAGGTAAACTACGCCGAAGGATGCAAACGGTGGTCAAACGACGAATCTGGTTTCGATGAGGCTGTCAGAGCAGCGGAAGCTTCCGACGCAGCCATAGTGATGGTTATCATCCCTCCTTGTGACATTTCTGTGATCCATAGCTCATACCCGTGAAGGTTGGTACATGGTCCCTTGATCAGACACTGCTATGGACGCCAGGAACAAACGCTACCACAGGCGAACATGTCGACCTAGCGGACCTCGCCCTCGTCGGCGCACAGCTCAAACTCGTCCAAGCTATCAAGGCGACCGGGAAACCAACCATCGTCGTACTCGTCAGCGGCAAACCCGTAGCTGAACCATGGATCCAAGCAAGTATGGCGATGCAGTTTCCGCGGTTTGATGCTCGCTAATAAGTTTCAGATGCCGATGCTGTGATACAACAATTCTATCCCGGTGAATTAGGTGGACTGGCAATAGCAGAAATTATCTTTGGTGCCGAGAATCCTTCTGGTAAGGCAACTTCTATGTCGAAATATGTCTCGAGTCCTTATGTTGGGAAGGTAAACTCTCGGTGTCATTCCCGAGAGACGTCGGTACTACCCCAGCGTTTTATAATTATCTCAAGGGCGGGCGACCTGTTGATCCCGGGGCAGTTCTGGATAACGGAACATTGGTATTTGGACATCAGGTCGGTTGACATATGTGTTCATCGCTACATGCTGACGCCATCGTAGTACGTGCTTAATAGTCCCGTGCCGCTGTGGGGCTTTGGGCATGGTCTTAGTTACACGACATTCAATTAGTAGGAGACACTTTTACCCTCCTGCTGGGACAGGGTCTGATAAATTCTACAGCACCGATCTGACGCTATCGCGATCCACTATTGGAACTAATGATGACTTGAATGTGACGGTAACGGTTCACAATAACGGTGCCGTTGATGGCAAAGAAGTGGTCCAGGTTAGCCCATCCACCTCTCTCCTGTAATTCATGAAATTCATCATTCATTCCCACCAATAGGTCTACATTACAGACACCTTCAGTTCCGTCGCCACTCCTAATCAGCAGCTGGTCGGGTTTAATAAGGTTGATGTTGCGTACGTAGATTCGACTTGCCGCGTAATACATGTCTTGATAGAGATCTCTAGTGCGGGATCGTCACAAAAAGTTACGATTCCAATATCGTCCTCACAGTTGGCCGTATGGTCGTACAATGGTTGGGTTGTCGAGCCTGGTAGCTTCAATATGAAAATAGGGACGAGCGAGGAAACGTATATCAACACTACTTTGACCGTCCAGTAGGGCAAAGCAGAAAGGGTAGGCATAATATGACTTAAATATGACTGGGATGTTATAAAGCCTGATCATCTGCAAAGGCCTACGTCAGAAGGAACTGATAATATGCCAGAAACAAGACACAGACGCAATACACAAGCTCCATACTATGGGAGTTATATTAACACCCGCAATATTGAATTAAACATGCTGCCTCTTACATTCTAGCATCATATGTAGCAAAACCACTGGCTTATAGAACGTCTGATTAGTGCCTTCAGCTGGATGTATCCCTCCCAACCCGGGAGAAGTTACCACTGAGGAAACTAAACGTCTCAGTAGGAACGGAAAACGAGATGCTATCCGTAGGGGCAAGGGTAATGCGGAACCTAAGGCAGCTGACAATGCATCTTGCATACTTAGAAGTCCAGATCAGTGGGACGAGGCTGGTTGCTGTAAAGGTCCCGGACTTGGCAGATGCGCAGACGGCAGCACCTTATGGATATCAGAGCAGAAAAGAAGTACACAGCTGCTGTAATTACATTGCCGATAGACTCCAGAGAGATTGGTCGGCTCGAGGGAAGACATCGAAATTGAGACCGGGAGTCTGCTATTTGGCAGTGACAAGTTTGATTCAAAGTTGGTACATGAGATGCGTGTGACGATAAATTTAAAATTTAAAAATTTCTCGTAAAGGCGGCCGACCAAATATCATTTCCCTAGCACTTTATTGGCTTGGCTTCCTTCTCTGGCTTGGCAATCTCTACCTGCCAGTCCGACCACTACGCGGGGTCCTCTTTCGCTTGAATATCACAAAAGTGACACTGTACATAAAATGATGTAGGCGTTGCACTATAGTTCAGTAGTTGGCTGGATTACGCAGTGTGAGATGCAGAATCTTAATCAAGGAGGATCAGGAAACATGCTATTCTGGCAGGACATCGCCAGCATCATTGATCTCATCGGGAAGGCAATCTTCGCAGAAGGTGCGTGGACACGTTCGGCACCTTGCAAGGATTCAGATGAAGCATGAGGACCAACACCGCGGAAATGCATACTTGTAAAGCATTCCACCGGATTGAGCCATCGAACGAGAGCACTCACAACACGAATGTTGTTTATAAACTAAGAATACCTTCCTGCTGGCCTCGCGTTGAGATATTCCATAGCATTCTGCATGGAAAACTAGAAAGATTTTATGTTAACAAGAAGGAAATGTGGATAAAAACTTCCTTACCTCTTGGACAATGAGCACATGTTACTAGCTCCCCTCCGTCACGACAGTGAATACACCAATTTTTGTTTTCCCGCTGTCTCTTCTTATTTTTGGCCTTCTTAGCTTCCATCATATCGCGCTGACGCTGCGGTGCTTTCTGCTAAATCTACCAATTTCATCAATGAATAGATGAAGTGTAGAAAAAAAGACAATGCGTACATCTTCCAGTGAAGGGCCGTCGACTATGAAGGTCGTCCCACTTATTGTCACTTTGTTATTGCTCCTGGTGCGTTTCTGGGTACTCAGTGTCAACTCCGAAACAGTATTGTCCATGTGCTCGATGACATTCCCCTCAAATAGCCAACATTTGACCTGCATGATGCCACTCAAAAGTTGCTTCTCCTGCTCTTCAGCACTAAGAACAAGGTCTTTTGCGACTGCGGATTCGTCTTCCCCAATGTTCTGCTTCATCTTTGCATCACGAGCATCCTCTCAAGCCTACGAGACATCCAGTATATCAGAAAGGGACGCATCAAGGAAACGGCCTAGATTCATGTCACCATCAGATGAAGACAACGCACTGCTGCCCTTTTGGAGAATATCTTTCAATTCAGTCAGTCCCAAGGAGGCATTTTCTGATGATGAAGAATCGCCATCCATAATCTTCAAAGACAGGAACAGTTTCCTCCATAGGCAGTCCTAGGGAAAGGTTCAGCTGATACTTGGCATCATTAATGCTACATGTACCAGCATTTGGTCTTCAACACTTCCTTGGCATGTTAGTCTATAAACATGGGATGGATATCAGTTATTATACAATATCAGCTGCAACATATCATTACCTTCACCATCTTCGTTTGACTGATCCTATGAGCCCAGGCAATGCCTTGTAAGTCATTCTGAGGATTCCAGCTACTATCACACAACATAATGTTCTGCACCCTAGTAAGGTTGATGCCTGGAATAGCAAGAAACACCAATTCAGCAGTGCCATCTAGAAGTGTTTAGGATGTACATACCAAGACCACCAGCTTGAGTCAAAATAAGGAATACTTGATATGCTATCAAAAAGCATAAGTATCCCCCCATATATTGTAACTGATTACAACATATGTGATTTTTCTCATTGGAACTGTAATAAGAATGGTCAGTTGGACCATGAGGAGAATACCAAGGAGACACATGAGTTTGATATCCAGATTTCAATGAGGTTGAGTAGTTGACCTGTCCAGTCAGGCAAAGCATATATTTTGAAGGTTCATAAAGTCCTCTAAGAGATCAAGCATTCTTTGTAATACAAATAAATATCAGTGATTATGGAGACCATATGCAAAACATACCTCATCCATTGCTTCAGGAAAAAATCAGGGCCAAGTTCTCATGCTGACTTAGAGACAATGTTGAGGACTCACTGAAAATATAAGTACCTTCTCTCTCTTTGAAAGAATGTCCATGAGGATTTTATCTATTGCTATCATTTTCAAAGATGAGGCAACAATGTGTTCTCCCTTTGTGTATGGATCTGGCTCTGCATCAGGTAAAAGATAGGGGCTATAATGGAGACATCAACAATAGCCAGGAGATATGCCAGCAGGAAACTTATTAATTGCATAATATTTATAGCTGTATGAGGATAATACTGAGTTGCTGCCACACTACAAAAAACCATTAGCTTCATCCAGATTAATAAATACAGTTGACTATCTCACAATGCATATGGTCAGAAGACACCAAAACCATATGCATTTATAGATTTATGCAGAACTAAAATAGCATGTGTTGTGATATGTGACTTATGTGACAACATTATCACATTGCATCAGTCATAGTCTCACCTTAGAGCTACATGTTCTGATACCAGGATGCAACAGCATGCTCCACATCTCCACATTACATGCCAAAACTGTTAGACCCAAGTGTCACATAAACAGAAGCATGTGATAAACAGAAGCTGCCTCACACTTTAGGCAGTTGACTGAGTTCACTGATGCATCTTCTGATTGGTGTGTCACAAGGCCTTAGGATTGGCTCAAGTATAGAATAGTGTGAAGATAAACTTTAGCTTAAAGCTGGGGTTTACCAGCAAGAGCAAGCCTTCTTAAGTACTATACAAGTTATGACTATTAATAATACTACCTATTATATGTTGTTGTGTCCTTTATGCCCATTGTCCTTAGATGTCATTACCATACATAAAAGGTTGATTATGCATCATTGGCACACATTGTTGCATTGAAAGACAATAACTGACTCAACCTAGTTGTGATGACTAAGCTTGATCTCATAGTCTTAAGTGCTTGTTGTAGATGCCCTGACTAAGCATAAATAAAGGTTAATCATAGAAAAGAAATGGAATAAGGGAAAAATCATAACATTACTCTCTCCTTAAGACCATCATCCCAATAGCTTAATTTAGAGATAATTTATAATCATGTATAGCCACATTTGCATTTATTTGTTTTTCATTAACTCACTGGTTGGACTCCAGTCTGTAGCCCTTCTAGCTGACCAGGTAATCAATGGTCATCATCATGCCATCTCCTTTCACTTTGACTTTTTGTAATCTATAGTTGAGGATTTGGTCAATCTTATAGTGTTTTTTATTGTCAATCAAGTCTGGAGGAGGGAGTGATGGTCATTCCTGATTAGAAAATGCTGGTGTGATATAAGGAGTTAGTAGTGCTTCATTGAAGACATTGTGAATCTTTCATATTATTGAAAGACAGAGTTTGTAAGCAGACTGGCCAACTTTAGCAAGTATTTAGAATAGGCCAGTGCATTTATCAGTGAGTTTGCACTTTGGATGTGGGAGATGTAGATTTGTGGTATCCAGCCATACTTTGTTGTTGGCTGAGTATTTATGTGCAGCATGATAGTGTTTGTTGTACTGCTGCTTCATGGTTTTTGTGGCTTTTTGGAGAGCTGCTTTGGTTTCATTATGGATCTTTGCCATGGTGGTGGTGAAGTCCATAGATGCAGGTGTTGTGCTTCAGTGTCACTCAGTTTGGGTGATATTTGGGTGTCACCCATAATTGATAAAAAATGGAGTCTGGCCAGTGGCAGAATGAATGTGGTTATTGTGCTGAAAGGCAGTGAGAGCCAGCCATTTGATCCAATCATTCTGTTGGTAGTTAATGAAGAGACAGAGATATTTTTCAACTTCCTGGTTGGCCTGTTCCATCTGGCTGTCTGTCTGCAGATGATATGTGGTGGATGCATTTCTTTTAATATTTAGCAGATGGTATAAGTCATCCAGAAATTTGAAGATGAATTGTGGTCCTCTGTCTGAGAACATGACTTGGGGCATGCTATATTTGGTATAGACTTCATCATGTAGAATCTTTGCCCATCCTTTGGAGGTTAGTTCTGTTGAGCAGGCAATCAGAATGATTATCTTGAAGAATCAGTTGACTATGACAATGATGGTGTCATAGCCATTGCAGTTCAGTAATCTGGTGATCATATCTATGGAAATGTGGGTCTAGGGTGATAATGGGACCTCATTTGGGTGGAGTGGTGTCACCCATGGTTGTGTTGAAGTCTTGCCCCATTGGCAGATCTCATATGCTTTGACATATTATGTGATGTCATTACCCATTTTGGGCCACTAGTACTCCTGCAGGACCAGTTTCTTGGTTTTTGTGATGCCTGGGTGTCCAGCAGTCATATGGTCATGATGTGTGGTGATGATCTTGCTGTGAAGTGCCTGATCTCTTGGAATGTAGATCTATCTATTGTAGTGGATCATCCCACCTTCCTTTGTCATTCCCTGTTTATGATTTAGCAAAGGGGCTATCTTCTGATCCCACTTGCTGGGGTCTCTAGTGATGCTTTTGATCCACTTGTGGATCTCCTTCTCTGTTGGCATTATCATGGCTTAAAAGTGTTTGGGCTTCAATAATGTTACCCCTTCATTGTCACATCCTCTTTGATCATGATCAACACATCAGCTGAAAAGGTCAGCCTTTTTGTTGGCTGTTCTGACATTATGATGCAGGGTGTACTGATATTGGCTGAGTTCTGTCACTCATTGAGCTTGCCTCAGGTTCAACTTCTGTGGTTGGTGGAAGTATTGCAAGTTCTGGTGGTCAGTTTAGATCTCAAATACCTCTGTAGCCCCAATTAGATAGTGCCACCACTCTTCCAGGGTGAGCATGATGGTGAGTAATTCTTTATCATAGATCTTATAATTTTATTCCATGACTGAGAGCACCTTTGAGAGAAAGGCCACTGGTTGCCATTTGCCATCCTGTTCTTGAGACAGTATGGCTCTGATGGCTCCCTCACTGGAGTTGGCTTCCACCTGGAACTTCTCTTTCTGTGTTGGAATGGCAAGGACTATGTCTTTGATAATATGCAGGCTACATGTCCAGCCCTATAATTTGCAAATTCTGCATAACACACTAGAATATGCTAGTAACTGAGGACCATTAGCCAGTAGAGGACTATGGCTGAGGCTCCAAGCTGATAGTCATGCTAGTCACCAATACTAAGTCCAAAAGGGACTTTGTAAAATAACATGGCCTAAGGATAAAAATCATAAGTCAGGTTTGAACTTAGAAAAGTTCTGCACCACATCTTGGAAAATACTAAGTCCAAGTTGGACTTAGAAATGGTACCTCAAATGAGGCCAATTCTACATGCCACTAAGACAAGTATATTCCAAGACAGCTAGGGGTAATACCATAGCCAGTTGTAGAGTATTGAATAAAGACAGCATCATTCAGGAGTAGTAAGAAGAGAGATCCAATAATCTGTGGCTAGCACTCTCAGTTTTGACTCAAATGCCTAAGTCCAAATTTTCTAGGTATCAGATGACCTAAGGGACTTAGAATTGAGAGGAATAGAGTGGATAGGACCGGTTGACTGGGCCTGATCAGGCCTGATTGATTGAGCTACTAAGAATAACTCAGAGGATTAAAACTCTGAGTAGACAGAAAGAAGTTAGATACCCACAGACACTGTAGGCTTAAAATAAAGCTGTGCAGTCACCAGGTGGGTCTGGGCAAGCCTAGAGGAGTTCAGGAGTGCCACCATTCCAGAATAATGGTGTGATTCTGCTTTAAACAGAAGAAATATTATTTTAAATACTTTATTTATAGATTCTTTATCTGTTGTTAGTGTATAAAAGAAGGGAATGGGGGGGAAATAGCAAGCAAGCGACCCACCCCTGCATTCAGGCCTTCTAGCCCACTGTAGCTGGTCCCTGAGACAAAGGATTTTGAGTTCTGCTTCGACTTAGTGATTTATTTAAGTTGCTTTATCACTTAGAGAGGATTGGATTAGAATAATAACTGTATTTTGGGTTTCAGATTAATTTGGGTTTCAAACTATAAGGGTTTCAGCATCAGAATACAAGTTCTTCAGTTTTGAGGACTGCTAGCCAGCCAAGAGTGCAGCTAGTCAAGCCTAAGTGCTTGATAGACTTAGTATTTGGGTTTCAGAGTTCATTGGGTTTTGGAATATTCTAAGTTGATTTGAAGCACAAAATTGTGTTGATTCTAAGTCCTAATTATACTTAAACATTGCTATAAACTACTCTCATGAGTATTGCATCTTTGAAAGCAAGATAGAGTTGAATAACTGTCTTTATTGACTGTTTCTTTGATTTTACTTAAGACTGCAAGAGTGCTTCTATCATACTCAAAACAACTGACCTCAACTGTATTTGGTGATTGTGTATTGAGTGGTTAGGTGTTGGTGATTGAGAGTTCATTCCTCATTCACCTCTCTTAGTCACTTAGCTGTTACCAAGCACATCAGTAGGCAGTTGAATGTTCAGTTTTTGTGATTCTTTTGGGATGTTTGTAGTAGTCAAGGGTCAGAGTATATTCAAATGCATGCATAAGTTAGACATAGGTGTAACTACAGAAGTGCTATTAGTCTATTTAGCAGCTACTAGCAACATATCACTAAGTTCTTTGGCTGATCCAGTGGAATCACTCACTAGTTGGCCCTATCTTTTACCTCCTCCACTCTTGTATTCTTGCTGATTTTCTTGAGTCCATTGGCTTCCTTCTGCAACTTGGCAATCTGTGCTCTGATGTCTTTGTGAGTTTGTTTCTTCTTCAGACAGTTCTGTGACAGATGTCTCTTCTGTCCATAGTTAAAGCATTTGCCTTTCTTCTTGAGCCAATCTATATCTATTGGTTTACTGCTTCTGGTGTATATGATGCTGGAGAACAAGGCAGTGATCTTAGCAGTGTCAGTTTGATTTCCAGGCTTTGCATTCTGTGGTTGGTAGAGTTTTTGATCACTCTGAAGATTCATCTATTTGGCCTTCTGCCACTATTGTTCTTTGTACATCTTAATGATTTATTTCTTTCATGCATCATATCTCTTCAGGATGTTCATTCTGATGTCTGAGATTATTTTAATGTAGGAGGGAGGTGCCCTATGTTTGAGCATCTCAACCATCCTTTCATTGTCAGTGATATCATTATATATCCCAGCA